CATTTTGGAGGGTTTTACATCATTTAACAGCTCGAGATACAGGAATTTCCAGAGTTGCCTTGATCCTTCAGCATAGGGATCATAAAGCCAAGCTGTTCGTGCTTCATGTTTAAGTTCACCATTGTTGCCTTATAAAGCGAGTGCCTACAAGACAGCACTTCCTACAGAACGGAACTACAGTCTGCTGTGCTTCTTGGGACAGACCCTTCATGAGGTTAACAGCAGTTTTAACACCCCATGTGGAGATTAAAACTGGTTTTACAAACACAGTTCCTGAATAGGCACTGCATTTTAGCTGAGGGGAAGGCAGCCAGCTTTGCAGCAGGGAAACCAACTTCAAAAGGCATTCTAGGAGGGAGCCCGTGCCTTTAAACATACTTTATCCATCCTTGGATGACAGAGATAAAATGATGCATTGAGGAACTGCACTTCCTATTTTATTCTCTGCACGAGAAGGGACAAACATTTAGGGTTTTAGAGCTTATGTACCACCTCAGCAAAAACCTGTTTGGTGAGCAAACCAAGCTCTGCTGACTGGTTGGTGAAATGGCACTGGGCAGCAATCTCAATCCCAGAGAAAAGCGATTTTAGTAAAACCCCAATGAGCTTTACAGACAGGAAGAACACATTGCACCTAACCCCAGAGCAACAGCCTTTGCCCCTGCTCCCTGGGACACTGACTCCCAAACACAGCATTCGTGGCAGTTTGGAGAGGGACCCCAAGCAGGATGGATGTCTATGTCCTTTCATCTCAAACTGTGGCTAGGACTCAACCCACACTTGATTACCACCTGCAGGGAGTTACAAGCAGAAAATATTTCAGATCCACAGGCTTAAAAGGTATTATTTTCCATCAACAGTGAAAAAGTATCCTAAATGCTTTTGGTCATTTGTTAAATATTAGGATGCTTTTCAAACTGTTTTATCTTGCTAACAGCTAAAGGGTTTACAGGCCCTTAGGAAAAACAAATCAATATTTCATCTTTTAGATAGGCCAAATCTCTCTTTTTTTGCCATTTTAACTGATTTACAGCACCTGAGATGGTGATTAGCATCTTGGTCAGAGACATAAGAATAAACAAAAGCTCTCAGCATATCAGGTCATACAAGAGTTCAAAAAAAGCACTTATATTGTTCTCAGCTTTTATTTTGGCTTGCCAAAACAAAGAAATCAGCTGTTTCCCAGGGGAAACATGACAGACACACTGATTTTCACAACACAAATGTGATGGAGGCTGGTGCAAAATCAGACATACACAAGGAATCCACAGCGCTCTGTCCTGCAGGCTGAAGCCAAGGCAATGAAGTGGGGAACTGCAGTGTTTTGAGGAGGAAAAAACCTGATATGTCTGTGTCTATGTCTGCCGCTGGAGTAATTTTTTTCTCATCTTTCCTCATAAGAGATGATTTAAAGATCTGAAATATTTTTTTTTCTCTCAAAATAGCATATCATAATAATACACGCCTTCTGCTGGCCCCATGGGAGACATGGGAATTGTGCCAATACATCACACTGATACCACTGTCCACCCATTATCTACCATGTCTGTGCTCTTAAAAGGTTAAAAAAACCTCTTGGTTTTGTGATAGGGTATTTTTTACTTTATCTCAGTCTTAAAAATAGTGTGGAATTTATAGAATCTCTATCCATACATGGAGGGGCAATGCAGGCAAAGCATCATTGTTGGACTCCAGATTTCTTTACAGGTTTGACAAAACTTGAGCCACTGCGAAACACGAGTGAGCATGAGCTGAGTGTTGCCCCATGCTTTGATTCACCTTGTACCAAACTGAGCTTAAGAGACTACTGAAAGATGTATTGTAGGCTCCTGTACTATAATACATCCATCTCAACCACAGATGTGAAAGATCTTGCACGAGTGAGGCTTTGGTAAAGTGACAACTCCTGTATTTAAATGATGATTTGTTTGGACAAGGTTTTCAGGAGGAATCCTGCATGGCAGCTGTTCCCAACGAGCTCAGCACGAGTCAGAGTGCTCATTTTATCCTACCTTTTCATAGCCTTAAAATAACATGGTAACATTCTCTAATTGACTACTCTTTTCACATCTCAGGAGAGGTTTTTTCCGTTACAAAGTATAATTTGTATTCTCCTAAATCTCACATATCTTAACCAGAGGAACAGACAATACACAAGGGGAGGTTCCCCCTTTTCCAAAAATTCTGTCAGGGTGGACTTTGGAAAATGTGAACATTTATAGACATTTTAAATCTCCAAATGAGAAGAAAACAAGAAAGCCTAAAAAAATACACGCATGCACATACCCGATTTAAATGATGAAATCCTACTCATGAAAATTAATATGGTATCTACACAATAGGTGGCCCAAATGATAACCCTGTTGTCCCATTAATTGTATTTATTTCAAAAGTCAAATAACGTTATCTTTAGTCCCAGCTTCAGCAGCCTGTAATTTAAAACAAGCACCTTTTTTTTCGGCATGCGAATCAGGTACCTAACACTGTCTCTTTCAACCTCTTTTGTGCTTCTAAATTAGAAAACCCAAATGTCATTTTTCTTCAGATATGCAACATAGTCAAGGTCGCTGTAAAATAAAAGAGCAATTAACTTTGCAAGAAAACTGTTGTACAGGAGTAGAATACAGTACTTGAAAAAGTGGCTAAAATCTAAAACTATTTCTACATAAATGACAGAATACAGCTTCAGATATTTCTGGCAAATTAAAACAAAACAAAAAAAAGAACCCATGGAAGATACCCCTCCCACCCACTAATTTGTTTGCTGGCCTTTTATTGCTGCAAGATAAGAAGTCTTGCTGTTTTGGTAGTTCTGATATATGAAAACTGGCTCTGTTTCCCTGCCATCTTCCCCCTCCCTAAATGAGCCCTAGACAGGTAATAAACACTAGCACAGAATTTCTCTATCATATTTTCCTCTATCACTCAAAAGACAGGAGAAGTTTTATGAATTCTCTGAATAAAATTCAGGTTGGAGCTGCCCTAGCTGAAAAGACAAAGAGAAAGCTAACATTAAAGGTTTGGAGTTGATAAGTATTTTAAAATACAAAATTATCTTGGCTCTTCTCTAAAATCAGCCAAGATTTTGTAACTTGGTAAAATTAAATGCGTTATCAACACACAACTGACTGCAACCCAGCAAAGATAAATTATCTCATTAGTGCCATAGAAATCAGATGAGGCGTGCATAGTAAGTGACATATTAAATGCAATTATAAAACCCTACTGAAGTGATTTTAGTGACCTGACACATGACAAAAAACCCCAATGAGGCAATGCAGAATCCAGGCTGGAAGATGCGCTGATATTATTTCTATGCAGCACACATTAGATACAAAAATATTACTTAGCCATCAGTAAAAATCCCATAATCAAAAGCACTGGAAAAATTTAAGAAATTATTTATATGCAAAGAAGGGTATATTTTCAAGAGGAGCAGAGCTACCTACTAATGCAGCAATCTGCAATTGCTACGATGGGATGAACAGCTTAGGAGAGCTGCCTTCCCACATCGCCCACCTACATCCTCACATGCACATAGTGCCGATCCACTGCCAGACACAGGCATGTTCCCACTTTTCACATCTGCAGTGGTAATTTTCCAATGTTAACTATCATAAAACAAGAATAAGGGAACCACATGGCTCGAACAGACTGTGGGGAGCCCCCTCCCATCTCCTGTCTGCAGTACCAGTGACCTAGACCCTCCTGATCAGCATTTATCCAGCTCTTCTCAAACTCCCCTGGTGTTGGAGATCCCAGGACTGCGGCTGCAAGCAGACTCTCTGGTGCTTCTCTCCCTTCTCTGGTGCAAAGTTTTTTATTAAAATCTGACCTACATTTTTCTTGCTGCAACTTACTGCTCTTTATCCAACTCACAGCAGACAGATAACAGGCTATTCCTTCTCTCCAGTAGGCTTTTATATCTTCCAGGGTCACACAGCCTAGCCAAGAGACCCAGTGAAAACTTCCATTATTTCAGCTTGCTGTCTCACATCCTATTTTCTAAATATGTCGTCATTCTTGTTGTTAACCTTTGCCCTTCCTTATATTTTTCTTAAAGGGTTGTGCCCCAAAGTGGACACACAAATGCTCCAGCTGAGTCCTTATCGGGACCAGATACCTTAAAAGATTAACCCATGCATCACACATGCAACAGTGTTCACATCCAGCAAGTCATCTTCTCGAAAAAGTATGTCACTGTCGACTTCCATCTAGGTTGTGACACTTTCTAACTTTCAGACTACAGATGAGATTCCCCTTAGTAATCCTCTGCTTGGACATTGAATTGGGTGGCCTAAACACGACCCTTTTCACCAGTCCCATTGAACTTCACCCTCCACAACAGCATGGTCCCAAGTGAAAGCCAAGTACTCATAGCCGGGGAAGGACTGGTAGGGCCACCTCACCCACAGGGACTGCTCTGAACTCCACCTTTCACCATCAGCCTCTCGTGCCACAGCAAGCACAGCTGAAAGGCGACCACAAAACCTGACCCCAACCACTGACGTGAAACAACCGAGCAAATGTTCTTAACAAAGCGCCTGCTTCCCACTGAACAGCTCAGCATCTCCCCAGGAACCAGAAAATGAGACCTATGCGATTTGGTCTCTGCTTCAGGCAGCCTTTGCAGAGGGCTTAGAGATGGCCCTTCCCAAAACACAGTCTTGATGGCTGGAAAGAAGGATTTTTCTTTTTCTGGGTGGTTGGGGCTTTTTTTCCCTTTCCCCTTCTGACTTGCATCTGACTTTTACAGTGAATTTGAAATGCAAACTCCTCTTCAGGCCACAGTGCTGAGGGAGTCTCCTCTGCTTGGAGCCTGTAGCAAAACAGTTCTCTGCAGTATCTCATATCTGAAACAGCATTGCTGAATGGGACTGAAGTAACACGAAATAACAGAAAAAGTAATCAAAAACTCTGTTAAATTTGATAAAATCAAGTCAAAGCAACATAAACACTTGCACGTGACACAAACATGCTGTTTTTACACTTTTGGGGAATATTATGTTACTGATTGAGAGCTTCATTTTTATAGGGAAGAAGACAACGGGCTCCCACGCCTGCATCAGGCAGTGGTCTGACTGACACAAGGCATTGCTACTGAGTTCCCTGCTCTCTTCCTCCACTCATCAACCCCATTGCATAAAAGAGGGGAGGAAAGTTTTGGAAAAAGCCTTGTAATCTTACTTCACATTGCTAGCAAAGGAGAAACACACTCACTATTTATGTGCCACTGTCAGATGATCCAGGGATTTTGTTCACTAATTGAAACGAGTCAGCTTGAAATGCTTTCCTTAATGCAACTTTTAGCTGCCATCAGCGCCCTTGTGAGGGGCATTGGTAGGTGTCAGATGTGGAACAACCATGCCAGAGAGGGAGTAACCATTTTCCAAGAGTGTTGTTTCATTCTGCAATAAAATAAGTTACGCTGTTCACAGAATTACCCTTTATCTATCACTTTACTCAGCAAGACAGGCCAATACGATTTCTGTCCTTTTTCTTTCTCTGTACAATTCATTTTTGTTCCTCCTGGAGGTTAGGAAACAAATTACAAATTGACTGGTTTGAATCCTCAACACACCGAGGGGCAATATTGTTTCACTGCAGAACTGCTGGGGTGCAGTTCTCTATTTCAATACGTTCACTTTAACTATAAAATTAATTACTTGGTAACAATAGTAAACAGAAATAACCAATAGAGATCACTGCATTTTTATTTAAATGTATGTTAATACGGAAAAATTACATGCGACAAAAAGATTTGAGCATGTTTAGTTCCATTTGTTCTGTTTTTAGGGCAGTGTTGGGTTTTAACTTTGAAAGGTTAAAAGTTTAATTGGATTAATTTGGTGGTCTACTTACATTATCCAGCAGGGATATTTTGAGCCATTACAGAATGTCTCTTGTGTTGCCTGAGATACAAGCCAATGAAATCGGGATGAGGGTTTGCTCTTGGCCAGAACCAATTATTTCCGCTGGGAAAAAAGATCAATTTCTGATGAGAATTAAAATGAAGTAACAAGGATAAGAATTTGAGAAATTTTGACCTTAGAGTAAGTTAATATTTTCCTTGAAAAAGTTTAAATACAGCCTTTATTTTACACTAGTTTATATGGGAGACTAATAATAATTTCAAAAAAAGGCAATTATCATTGTCTTGTTGAACAGAAAACACCAGTAAATTAATTCTCTCTATTCTGGATGCCACACATTTAATCTTTCAAGTGTGAATAGAGGCTACCAGAGCTAACTTACACTAGCAAAAACTACTCATAGCCTACTCATTGATGGAAAGGGACAACTGCAAAAAAAAAGAAAAAGTTAATAAAGGTGCCTTGAAACAGCAGGGATTGAAGTCTTCTGTCTGTGTGTCCATAAGAATGCCAAATACCCTTTCCTCAGAGTTTACATGGAGTCTGGCATGTCATGGACCCCGCTGGAAGTGAGCTCCTGCAGAAGTGCTGGTACTTCTGCCAACTCAGTCCCAGGCTCTCGTGTAACCTTACAGCTACCACCTTTAGCTGTCCTAGGGAAGAGATCAGTTTAGAGACTCAAACTCCATCAACCCTTCTAGCCCAAAGAATGTCCCTTACTGGCTTTCTAGTTTTCCCTGTCTTTGTTCTATGTAGTGAGAACATCTTTTCTTAAAGAACAACATCTAGGTGCTGGTTCAGTGACTCTAAGAGCTGTTTTTAGCAAAGACTGCTAACTTCTCAGGTTCACAACCCTCCTGCACCGTGTGATTCCTACATAAAAAGCCAGCAAACCATGTTTGGATTCACGCACAGCTCAGATCCAGGCCACAAAGACAGTTTTAGTTACTTCCTGTGAGACCCCCCCCAAGACTCAGCACACATAGCATTTCCTCAGCTCAATCACTCACAAGTTTCTCATGAGATTTTAGCTTTTTATTTCCCTTCACTCTGTGTGAATTTAATCTAATCTTCACTCTCACATCCACTTTGCAGGGATTATGTTCTGTTTTCCAGGTTATTGAGCTTCATTCCCTTCTTGCTTGCTCCTCTCTATCTTCCCTGTTCTTCTGAGAGTGGCTCCACTGCAGAGCCTCCTCCACTAAGGGCTGGGACAAACCCTGCACTGCTAAATTGGGGGACAGATAAAAGAGTTTATGGGTTGTCACAGAGTTGAGTCAAGCCCTCACTGCTGCAACTACAGAAATTTTAATACTCATACATGCCTTCTGACTGTGTGCTAAGATAACAGAAGATGTGAACTGGATGCAAAGGGGTACTTCAGCTGCGTTTCAGGTTTGGAAAGTGATGGCAGAGTGGGATACCATTTGCAATATCCACGGTGGATTTAAGATAGCGACTTTATTAAAATTTAAAAACATCTTTTAATTAACAAAATCTTTCGTAAGCCACCATCAGCAGTGGTTTCCATGGTTGCTGCTATTGGATGTTGCCAAGCACAAAGTGGGGCTGCAGCAGCAGATGGAGGCCACACACTGTGCTGATGGGGAAAGGGATCACTGCTGCCCACCGGGACCCTGGCTGAAGGGGCAGAGTTGAGGCTGGTTTTGTGGCCCTCTGCCCTCGGCAGGGATTACCTTCCAGGAAGGCATCAGGAGAATGGTGCCTCCTTCATCTACCCACTGCTAGTCCCACCGGGTCCTCCTGTAGCCCCACTGGCATGAGATGGGGTCTACACTTCCCGCGGGAGGACAGCCACATTCAGTTCTACAGCCTAGGAATGTCCCCATAGTTCTCTCGTACCAGAATGGGTACAGGCTTTAATTTGTTCCTCTCCGAAGTTCAATCAAACAATCTACAGTAGGTCGACTTTCTGATGGGAACTAAAGGCGATTCTTTAATTAGATTTAAGAACTGCAACACTTGAAGTTAAATCACGCTTAGAAAGATGAAAATTGAAAAATGATAACTAATGGGATTTACAGATGATTTCCTTTAAAAGTAAAAAATTATTATTACACACATGTACCCCAAGGACCTTTCAATAGCTCTTAAAAATATTCCTCTTAACAGCAGACAATGAGAATATATCCACTTATATGGAAAGATGAACAACAAAGCTTCTGCTAAGACATTTTTTAATAAAAGTAAAGATTCCCGGTTATAGACTAGAGCCTGCAGTCCCTTCCACCTCCTTCTCCATTTCAGATTCTGCATTTCTTTAGCAACTGAAAACGATGTCACAGGTAGGTAGTATGGGGGCCACGCGTCTGGATTCTGGCCTAAGCGACATCGATGAAGCCAGCTATAAAAAGGGACACTGAACCCTAGCTCAGTGACATGTAAATAAAGTGAAAACGTAATTTCAAATATCTGTCCTATTACAAAGTAGTATTTCAACCCAAATTTAAAACCGTCTGAAGAACTTAGGACCTTAACACATACTACAAAAAAGCCAGATAGCATTGTTTCAGCTAACCTTCTCATTGTTGTGGATTTCTTCCACAATGCCAGTAAGTGACAGAAATTACTTCTCGTGGTTTAACTGTAGAAGTCAAGGTTCTGCCCCTGAAAATCCAAGCACTCTCTTTTGCATCACATTTATCTCTTCTGACACAGGCCTAAGGCCAACTGAAAAATCCCTGGCAATTTCAATAGGAGTGGATACAGACTTGGAACCTGCTTCATGAGAAAGATCCATTTCCCTAATTAAGTGTATAAAAATTGAAATTGTAAAGATATTCTAGCTGTAACACAAACATTGACTAGTGCACAAAGCTTTTTGTGCTTGCATATCTTTGCTTGCTCAGGTAATTTAATCACTGGGAGATCCCATTCGTTTCCTACGAATGTGGTTTGTGCAAGTCCACTGCCATTGCAAGTGCTAAACCAGATGGTCAAACAAAGGTGTTGAGTGCCAGCATCTATACTGGTGACAGAACTTGCAAACATACCTACTTGAGTATGCTTTGCTTAACTTCAGGCCCTGTCCTTTTGCAGGTGACATATGGAAACTGCAGGGGATGTGATGAAACCAGATAAGAGTCCTTCACTAAAGTACTTTATCATAAGTCAACCATTTGAATAACATCTTTGTACATCTGAACAAATCACTATGTCTCTTACAGGGGTCCCAAAGGTGTTCTGAAAGGAAGTATTTAAAGTTTTCCTTCAAGTGTTCACTGATAACAAAATTTACTTTGAATTTTGTGGCCTTACTTTCTCACTAAAGAAATTAGCAACAAATCCAAAAGGACACAGAATTCTGTTCTGAATCCACAGACCAAAATGAAAATGAGGAGCATGTTTGATGACATAAATATAGCATGGTACAATAAATATACTGGCACAAGACAGAAGGAGGTCAAAAAGCTATCCCCTTTCACACAGATTATGTTTAAAAGTGTTGAACAGAGCCATTAAAGAAAAAAACCCATGATGACAACTTAGCATCTTTTACCTAGCAAGGCACAATTCTTGTGCTTTGCCAGAACCTAAAATTCCCTGGTGCATGCCAGCTCTTTGGTGGCTTATCATATGCAGGATGATTAATGCACTTGCAAGGGATGGGTGCCCTGCCCCTAAAACCACTGGCAGCCTTGGCAGACAAGACAAAACCTGCCTGTTTGAAGATGGAAATCCTTGTCCCTTCAGTCTCTTTAGAGCACAACAAACTGGCAGAAGTTGGCATGGCTTCCCTATGCCTTCAGCAGGGGAAGATACCAAAATCCTGCCACTGCTCTGTGGCAGGCACCTTTTTCCAGTACTACATTTATTTCCAATGAGAAGTTACAAATTTGACATTGCAGCACCAGAACAAACACAGCCGGGGTTTGCCAGGCAGGAAGGGTTGGGTATTTCAGCAGCTTAATGTTCCCGGGTCAGCTGGTAGAGAGAAAGCCGCCCACTCAGGAACCACAAAACCCTGTCACAGCTTTCCTTTTACTCATGTGAACATGCTGAATCATTAAAAAAAGGTCTTGCTTGACTAGGTAAGGCAATATTTGAAGACTCTGGAGAAGACATTATTTGAAAGTTAGAATACATATAATCATTAGAGGTAGCATTGTGATACACAATGTGATTTAGAAACTGATTTCATGCCAGTGCCACTTCAGGCCCAGGAAGAATGCCTTGGTGGCTATCTGGCTATGAGAAAAGCTTATCCATTTACCCTCCTGAAAAACCAATAATCTGCTGTGTAGCAGGGGCTCTGTTGGGGCGCATCCTCTTCATTCATAAACTCTGATAGGGATGCTCTATCAGTATTTTTAACTTTATCCCAAATAATGAATGTTTTCAAATCTGAAGAGCATTAAGAAGCTTTCTTGCTTCTTCTGGCAGCCTGCAGTGCAAAAGTGTTAACTCAGGAATTTACTCTACAATGGATTATAAATGACATTTAGTGACATGATGGATACATCCCGGCTTTGCAGTATATAGATGATCTCAGAATACAAGCCTTTCTCCTTGTTTCACTAATATGCTGCACACAGATCAGTGTTGTCAGCAGTCTGCCTTCAGTATTTTGATTAATACTCTTAACGTGATTTTCTAAATTGAGTTATTGTTCCCATTTCTGATCATACTTATGTTAATAGTGTTGTTTTTGTTTTTAATTTAAACAATTATGAAAGCATTAGTTTGTGACCAGCAGGCTTACTTTCATAGGCTATGTTGTTTCAAAATGAAGGCAAGATTATGAGGATAAAAAATTACTTTCTTTCATTTTTAACTGAGAAAACATCTTTAGAGATTATTTTGAATCTTCTCCTATTCTCCAGTTCATGTCTGTAGTGAGATTTTTCTTAAAACATACGAAGAAGTAGTCATTGAACTCTCCTGTCAGCATGAGATCAGAGGATGCATGGATTTCCCAACCAAGAACCAGTCTAATTTGGTTTTTTTTTTTTGCAATATGCTTCAAGTAAAGCACTTCCAGACTAATGACATCTAACGACCCATTAGCATGCCTTGTAGCTAACACATTCTCACTCAATGCCTAAGATGTGGAATATACAGAGGGTAACTTTCAGCCTTCA